TTTTTTTACCTTCAAGAGAATAACTAAAGGAAGTTGGGTTTCTTAAGTTGCAATAGGATGTTTTTAGTGTCTTTTCTATTCGACCGTATCACCCAGGTGATCCCATTATGAATTATGTGCAGAAATCAGCGATGCAAAGTTTTCCTCTGTGCTTTTACATATTTGCCTCTTCATTGGTAGTGTTTTCATGCTTGACTTTGACACTGGCTGCATGGGGACGGGAGGGGGAGAGAGAATGCTGGGATGTTTTGACCTTAAGTGCACATTGAAAGAGGCGGCAGGGTCAGATTAAACTTACCCTGCTAGACTGTAATCTTTACTTTAGTTTAGATGGTAAATGGTTAATCTTTGGTGCTTCAAGAAACATTTCAAAGCCTTTATTTTTTGACCCACTTGCCCATGTGATGCTGACTGACTGACTGAAGCTGGCCTTTTGGATGCCACAGAAAGGCACGTTCAGGAAACGCTGTTCCCTTGAGCCGTGGCTTGCAACTTTGAGAAAATACTGTCCTGCAGACGGTAAAAACACAAAACAAAGGTCGCGTTTAGCCACTGGTGTCACCACGGTGGCGTCGGTTTCCGCTCGCTGACGACGTGGATTTTTACGCTAACACAGAGTCCCATGGTTACACTACCAATGACCAGAGCCGTCAGAAAAGCCGGTTCGGTTATTTTTAAAAATCCTTTTCTTTTATATCTACTTTGCTTTATTCTACACACAATGCATTTTAACAAAGACTCACATGACAATCCAGTACAAAACGGTGTGCCAAGCAAAGGCTTCAAAAACCTGTTTATAACTTGACCCAGGCCTGTGCAGTGAAAGTTATTGCAGCATTTAATTGAGTCTTACTTGTGGTTTTAGTTTGCAAATGAAGCTTGCATGTTGGGCCTCATTTCTTTCTTCTTTTTTTTTTTCTTTTTAAATTGTATTTATTGAAAAACTTGCCAAATGAAGGTACTGAAATGGCCATTGTGTTTTTGGTGGTTGAATATGCTGCGTGTTTACATCTGCCATTCTGCGCTCTCTTATCTCCTTTATTTGATTGGACTGTCTATTGTTTCCCTGGGTCAAAGGCACTGAAAATACACCGCTGCGATGGGCCTGCGTTCATGCAACTTGTCCATTCAAGCACGCTCGTTGGTACTCTGAGGGGTGTGTGTGTGTGTGTGTGTGTGTGTGTGAGAACACTTTAATGGGTGTTGCTTATGCTTGAGGTCCATTCTGGTTTCAGGGATGGATATAGTGATATTAAAAAGCTCTTTGCATCTTTTTTTTCTCCCCTTTTTGTAAGGTTGACACACCGTATTTAGGACCACTTGACATGATTTTTCTTTTCAGACAATTCAAATTTTGTGTAGTGGTGTACAAATTGAAAGTAATGTATTTTTTTTTTTTTTTGTTTTGTTTTAAAGTATACCAAATGTAAATTCTGTACAATGAGTGTGCCAATCCCCTTTTCTTTGTAAAGCCAGACTCTTAACAAGTGCCAATGTTGTGGAAAAAATTCAGAGGACCTGTGGATTTCGTGGTCCAGTTTTTAAAGCAAACACTAAGTGTGTGATTAATTAGCAAAAAGGACAGTTTTATTCTATATTTAAGATTAATGATGAACTGCTGTTTTTAAAAAAATAAGTGTCATTTTAACTGCATGCGTTTTTGTCAGGTTGGGGGAGGGAGTGGGGGGTGAGATACTCTATTCATGCAACGCCCTCGAGAAAAGGGTCCTAATGGTTATTGATTTACAGTATTTTAGCCATATTTCTCTATTTGTATGTTTCATTTCAACCACTGTTGCCTGAACCTCATTCATACATGATGATTTTTACATAGCCTTCTCCTTTAAATGTTTTAAATTGGAATAAAATATGTTCCTATACTCTCTTCTTGCATCCCTGTACTTTTATTCTCAAGTATTTTTTTTAAAATAGTGACTTGAAGATTTCTGAATGCATTTTATCCACATGGATTGGAAAATGATTTGTTGCATAAATACTGCTGCCCTTTGGAAAGCAGCGACCTCTCTCTGCAGTCTTAAGGTAGGATACTGTTTAGTGAAAATGGATATTAACAAACAAGTGCTCAAGTGACTGGGTAACATTAAATCATTTTGACTCTTGAAGGTAATCGCACACTACTTTTCACAAAACTATTTTGATAACGCAGCGCACATTTATTTTTTTAAATTACTTTAGCGCCTTTTATGGATATGATCAGCTTGTGCCGCTGCGGAGGTGTTACTGAACCAAAGTTAGATTTTTCTTATCCTCCTCTCTGTGGGGTTTGAGTCAGGTGTGTGAGCTGGTCAATCAAGTACAGTAATAAGATGGTCAGCAAACCATTTAGTGGTGGTTTTAGCACTGCGGGCAGGTGCTGTGTCCTGCTGAAAAAGGAATTTAGCATCACCATAAAGTGCTCTAAAATATTGTCATACGTAGATGGCTGTGTTGACTTTGGACTTGGTAAAACACAGCAAGCGCCAACACAAGCAGATGACATGACACCTCAAATCATCAGACTGGAAAACGTTCACTGGACTTCAAACGCCTGGATTCTGAGCCTCGCCTTTGTTTTCCAAGAAAAAATGTGCGAACTGAACATTTCCTGTCTTTAGCCCAGGTGAGATGCTGTATAGACGCTGTCACTGGCTCAGGCGTGGTTTGATATTAGGAAAGCACATGAACGAGGTGCTTGATGCTTATTTTGTTTCTAAGGAGCCAGACTTTATTGTAATTTTTAAAGTGGTCTTGAACAGTTTCTACAGCTGATCTAAGGGTTTTTCAACGTTTTTCTTTAGGCATCAGATGCTTTTTCAGTCTTGTCCTTGTCCCTGACCATTTTCAGAGGAATATTATTTTTTGTTTCGTCATGCCACTTAACACTGACCTATGACTCATTCAAGCATACAAAAGGCCTCTAACTGAAGGGATGATACACAGTTGTCTACACATAACGGACAACTTGGCAAATAATCTGTTTTAAAGTATATTTGAGCACTTTGTTGCCACCAGTCTGACGCAAAAACAAATAAACTGTTTGAATTTTAAGATGACAGTTTGACAGCTATAAGTGTTTTGCCCTACAAGGTGATTCAAAGAAAGCCAAAGAGGCTTCACACTGTTGAAGAACAAAGGTGGTCAAACTATAGACTGAATTTCAAGCTTCCAGACTGTTTTGACGGTATTTCCATGCATGTTTCCACTTCGGTGCAGTCATTTATTGAATTGTCCCATTTTTCCTAACAAAACAAAGCAACGAGAGCTGATTCAGAACTTTTGCATCTCACCGTAGAGTTAAGGAATTTTCATAACTTCACTCTTAAAAGTATAAAACACACTCACTGTGGTTCTATTATGTTCTATGCCCATAACTGTGAATTTAAAGGTAAATAACAGTCATTTGCTCCCAGTAGAGTAGAGAGTTCGCATAATAGATTTCTTCAGTTCAGCTCTCTACAACAGGGATAATAATAATAATAATAATAATGGATTGGATTTATATAGCGCTTTTCAAGGCACCCAAAGCGCTTTACAATGCCACTATTCATTCACTCTCGCATTCACACACTGGTGGAGGCAAGCTACGGTTGTAACCACAGCTGCCCTGGGGCAGACTGACAGAAGCGAGTCATTTTACATCGTTTACTTTGATATTAAGTGGGCCGAACCAGTGAAACTTCTGTTTCTGTCAGTGCAAAGTAGTTTAATTACACATTTAATCCCTGAGATATCTTAATTTAAGAAAAAGAAGTGCAATTTAAGCACTTAAAATTCTCAGCTTTTCTAACTCTGTCAAGTATGACTGCTTGATGTATGAATTGTAAGTGTGGACCTACTTTTAAAAAAGTTTCCATAGTAGTTTAAAAAAGAAATAACTTTTCAGTTACATTATTGTCTGTGTACTTTGGTGTAGTGTGAGTGGACATAGTATCAGTATCATACTTCTGTATCAGTAGGAGGCTGTAAAATGTAAGTCTAACAACTAAAACCTATTTTTTTTAAATGTTATTTTTTTTAATGTAATAATTGCTCGTTATTCGTGGCGATAAACTATGGCACACAAACCTCCAGTGGTGAGTGGGGCGAGCCTGTGTGTGCTGACCTGTCCGCATGAGGCGCTGCTTGCTCAGACTTGGGCCTGCTGCTGTAGATCCGCGGGGTGTAGAGCTGCTCTCCGCGCATCTATCCGTGGTGTTTCTGTGTGGGGCGTTCAGCCCAGCAGCGTCGCCTTTGCCTACCCACCAGCTTCGGGAAGGGGCTGACTTTCTGGCTCCGCTGCCGATCCTCCCGCACTCCCTCCGTTCAAGAGGGGATAAACACTGAGAGTTAAAGTCCAAGCCGGGCAGCGTTGCAGTTTCAGCGTTAGCGGCGATTTTAATTTATTTTTATCCCCCCTCCCTCTCTCTCTCTCGCTCCCTCCACTCACGCGACTCAATTGTTGCCGTTGGACCAAACGGGATTGAACTTGAAACGAACCCGCAGACATTTTGTTATTTCTGAGATTTCTTCTTCACTTTTTTCATCCCTGTGGCGGCAGTTGGCTGCGGGGAGCGAGCCGCGAGCTGTGAGGGGGCCAACGGCACGAGGCGAAACACGGTCGGCGTTCACCTTCCGCTCCACTCGCGGGCTGCATCCAAACATTTACTGCACGCACGGCGTTATTAATTTACCTGCGCTGAGCTCGCGACGCTGCCGCTCGTGCGTTAAAGCGGAAAGCTTACAACGGCGATGAATCATTTTGACTGACAGCTTTTGAAGAATTAGCTAGCTTTAGCCAGCACTGATGGTGCTTTCCTGCTCACGCTAAAGCAGTAAATACGGGGTCGGGACAACCCAGACAGGACACCGACTATTTTGCCTCTCTAACGGCCGCAAAGTGCATCACTTATAATCGGCTTAATTTTATATTTATTTATTTTTGTTTAAAAGAGGTGGTGGGGTGGGGGGAGTCCCCTAGCTACTGTTAGCTAGTCATCCTGCTAACGCTGGACAGCTCCTGTGTACGGCTGGGCTAGCTTTGGACAAAAGAAAGAGCAACGCAAGGGGAAATATAAACATCGTGTTTGGGAAGGAGAGCAACAAACAAGGAACTGACATGATGTTTCCACAATCAAGGCACTCAGTAAGTGGCTTTTCATTTCAGCACTGTTGTCTGCTACGTGTTTACGCATGCAGGTTGAGTCGGGGAGAGAGGAGATTACGCATGTGACTTGTTTCTTGGCTGCAATTAAACAGAGTTGCGTTTTTTTTAGTAAGAAGAAGCAGCGTTTGTGGGGCAGTAGCACAGTGGTGGTTTCTAACTGCCACCGTTTAGTTCTGTAGAGGACGTGTGGACTCGACATGGCAGTATTTGTAATATTTGCATTGAAAAGCTGTTAAACTTTTTTTCCCTCCCAAATGATTGCACTGAAAATCATCCAAATCAAACACCTCAGTTGAATGCTGTCACGTTTCATAACCACACGCTGCTTTCAGTCCCTTGTGCCATTTAGTTTCATTCTCCAAAATGCCAAAAAGCAGGCATTTAGGCAAATTGAGCTGTGCACTGTTACATGCAGGTGGGTGATTTTTTTTCCCCCTATTTTATTTATTTATATATTTTTATGAGTGGAAAATGCACATCTCTGTTCTCCTAAATTCCAAGTTTCCATGGTAACAGATACTCGTCCAGGGCATGCATTCATCAGTGAGGAAGACTCTCAGCCCTTTGGTCAAACATTTATGTTTAGTGACTGGCAGAACTGTGTCACCTGCCACTGCAGTTGTGTCAGTATGGCTTTAGAGCCCTGATGCTATTAGCTAGAAAATTAAATTAAATAATTATGTTTTTTCAATCTTTCTGGGCTTACATGTGACTTAAAATTACATTGGAAACCTTCTCCATTGTGTTATGAGAAACCTTTTTGATGGCCTCCAGTTTTTGCCCCCTGCAAAGGTGAAAGTAACAGAGTGATAGATCCAGGTAAACACAACAAACGGCAAAAAGACTTTTGCTTTGCTGTTATGAATCATGCCCTCTGTTTTTCTCTGGCAGCATTTTGTTGCCACCGCTAGTTCTCTTACTGTTGAAAGGGTAAGGGTTGTTTGCTGAAGCCGAAACCAGAATGTCTTCTGACACGAATGCTTTGCCCTTTGGCAGTCTGTGTGGCAGCCTGATTATGCTGCACTGTGCTGCTGCTGCCACTGATGTGAGTCTTCAGAAGTAGGATGGAAGGATTTGGGAACCTCTGGTTGCAGTCTGGCTTGTCAGATCGGTGAAACCCTTCATAAGCACAGAGTCCCCAGAAACCTCAGCTAAATTATGTTATTTTCAACGCCATCTGCAAATCCGAGAATACATAAGTCTCTGTTTATCCTTATGAATGTCTCCTAAAGCAGAGAGTTTATCAGAGGTATGAAAGCAAGAGGAAAAAAATTTATTTGTTTACAACCATTTTATTAGCATAATAACCAAATCAGATACAATTACAGCCTCTTTTTTTACAGACAAACAATCTTTGTGCTAATTAATATGCTTCAGTTACAAACAGACCTTTCACAGTTGTTGAGGTTTGTGTAGCTACAACGTGTAGTTACATATTTTGGAAAGTGCAGGTCCAGCATGGCGTATGAAGCTCTCTGAGGTCTACCCTGTAGATTAAACACAGTACTACAAATCAAACATTAGACAGGACACAAATCCGTTATTCTTTATGTGTATTTAAAACTGCTGAATTTCATGTGAGAGAAAGCAGATTTGAATTATTGCTTCACTAACAAACTGCAGTTCAAGGTGGCTCTCATGAGCTCGGGAGACCACTCCCCCTTTCCCTCGTAATCCATTCCCAAACCCTGCATTTATTGCAGATGTACTAAATTGAACCCTAATGTATAGAAAACACCTCGTTCTTAGTAGCAGAGCAATCCAGTTTAAACAGTTACGCAACTTTAGAGCCAGTGTAATCTACATCAATACTTGCATCAAACAGAAAACCGATAGCTGCCAAGAGGCTCGATGGATTCAAATGCAGTGTAGCGCTACTGCTGTTCTGACAAGATGTTTTGAACTTCCTCTTCATAACGTGCACTGTCAAGCGGCAAGAATGGGTTGACATTAAAGTTCTGCCTGCATATGAGGATTTCCTCGGGTCACAGGGTGGCAGCGTACTTGACTGCTTGCTTTAAATGTGTTCACTGAACTGATCATGGTGATTTCATCTTTATCCTCACCCCGCAGTTTTAAATTAAATTCATCGAGCAGGCCGGTCAGATATGTCAGGAACGCTAAGTCCAAAAGCTACTGGCAGTCCTCTAGTTTTGCATGTTTTCAAGCTTCAGAAAACCAACTCTTTTAGGTTGTGTAGCGTTCATACTTCTGAAAATTTCCTTAGTAAGAACAAATGGGCTTAGAATTTGACAACGTTTGCGTACAAGTACTTTTGTGCCGTCTGGTTACAATTTAGTTATTTCCTTACTGTGAAAAATTGCAAGTGTGTATGTGAGAGACACTGGGGAGTTTTTATTTGTCACTTTCACCATGAAGACACAGTAACAAGTTGAACTTGTTTACAGATAGAGATGAATACTTGAGTCTACCTTGATTAGAGGACAGAAGGCAAGGCAAGTTTATTTGTACAGCACAATTCAACAGCAAGGTGATTCAAAGTGCTTTACAGAGACATTAGAAACAAAAACAAATAAAAAGCATGATTTAAAATTGATTAAAACAAGCAAACAAACAAACTAATTAACAAACAAACAAACAAACAAACAAAACAGTATATAAAATCAAAACAGATAAAATCAGAACAGTAGATAAAATCAGTAGTTAAAATGTAAGTTTTGAAATTTAAGCTTAAAAGTGTGGATCCAGAAGTGGATAAATATCAGGTACAGAAAAAACTGTAAAGTCATAACATTTAGTAGCATTTAAAAAAAAATACTGAAAGTTAATGTTAAACGTGTTTGTTCTGTGTAACAGTCAATTGAGTCTGTTAGGTTACCTAATTTTTGTAGTGGCTGTCTAAAAGAAAACAAGTACCACCTGTGCATAGTCCCAGCAGTGTTGCAACTTGAGTGTCCTGATAGAAAAGAACATTTAGTCATTATAGTTATTCATATAAACACTGGTGTACATTTTTGTGTAAGGTGTGTTGTGTAAACCACAACACTGTGGAGCTACTACAATAACGCAGCTGCCAGCACCTTGTTTACTTAGTTGTTTACTTGCACTTACTGCAAGCATCAATAAAACATTGTTCAGTATTTTGTTTTTAGTTTAGTCATTTACGCAAATTTTCTTAAAAAATTGTGATGTGATTTTGAGGCTATATCGCCCACTCCTAATTACAGTTGTGCATGACTATCTCTGGAAGAGAAAGTTATTATTGTAGCTTTTGGCTTTGTCTTTGCCAGAGTGCTGGTTACCACAACACTGTGTATATCCTCCCAGATACTCCTAACATTTGAGTGAATAACAACCTCTGCATTTTGTTTGCTTCCAGCGGATCTCTGTGGATCCTAAAGAAAACCTTTTATCAGAGAGTACAGTAAAGGTACTTATGTCAGACAGTTGTTTTTATTGTATTATTAATATTAAAACCTGCACTCCACATTGGGTAGTTACTGGGACGAGATGCCATCTTTGGTCTTCTCTCGTCTCTGGTTGAAGTTATAAACCAGTCACCTCCTGATGGAGTGAGTCCTCAGTCACCTTTTCCAAGGTGAGAGCAGCTGGGCCACTCCACTCCTGCCTGCCTACTTATCTAGGAGGTTATTTTTCTAATCCAATTGAGTGCTCTTACGCTTTATTGGAGTATTAAGACCAAACTCACAGGATTAGAAGTGGGGTTTGGGAATTTAACGTCTTTTCACCAGAGCTGCAGCTGGTTCAGTCTTAACCGACTACAGTCAGTCACGCCTAACCTTTCACATACACACCGCCCTCCACTGTGAATTTTCACATAAATAAACGGTACAAACACACGCATTCCCTGTTCAGATCCTCTCTTCAGTCGCTGCTGTTGTCATAAAGGTTCAGGGATGGGAAGTATATGTGACACCCATATAGATATGAGTGTCACCGATAAGGACCTGGCAGATGAGAGAAGTGGCACCGCGATATAGCAAACTGATGGGTCTCGCAAACAAATTTAGTTACGTACACATTCAACAATCCTCTCATGTCACATTTTCAGGGGAAGCTTTTATTGGTTGGGATGGTTATTAAAATATTTAGGTATTTTTAAAGCTGTTGACTTTACTGAGACACTTGAGGCACATTTCCTGAATGCAAAGTGTATCTAAAAGGCATATTTGCAGAGGCCGGTAGGCTTTTAGCCGTTTCATAATTGTACACAAGTGACAGATTTTCCCGTCTCCGTACTTTTTGCTGTTTGGATAGTTGCTTCTTTCCACAGATATCTGAACCCATGGACCAGATCAGCTAAGTCAATAACATTACAATTTTAGCAAACATTTAAGTGCAATTTATTTGCTTCATTGTATTTTCAGTCCACTCTACCTTTGTTGAGGCTACATATTTAAATATACTGATTCAGAAAAAAAATTATAGGTTTCATATACACTGAAGCAAACGCTATCATATTGTCTGACGCTGGGAATACAACGGGCAGCTGGGTCTTGGAAGCAATTTTGTTCCATACTTGGCATGGCTTCAGATGAGACTGGGAGCATTTCAGAAGCAGTGTTCACTCTGTATAAGGTCTTTTAATTTGAAAACTGATTAGATTCTCTTTGCCATTCCTGTGGCTTGATTTCCTGCCCTCCTCAAGTGTTCTGTGCAACTTGACTGCTTCGGTTAAAAGCAGCACAGAGTGGAGAACTGCTGCAGGAACACTTCTGAAATATCTGCTGGAATTACAAGTTGTTTTAGGTGAGAATAAAAAATGTGACCTTAATGACAAAGAAGAGGCTATCTTCAGCTGCTCTGTTATTCACAAGGGGTCTTCACAGTGGGTAGCTCGGCATGTTTGATTTGGCAGAGTTTTTACGCTGGATGCCCTTCCTGATGCAACCCAATAAGGACTTGTGTCTCTACCGGGATCCACTCGGGACACGATCAGTTGGCGACTATGTAAACACTGAACTTGACCTTGACCTTAAGCACAGTTTGGGTGAACA